AAAAAAAACGCACGGGCATAGACTCACGGAGTTTATTTTCAGGCGTGGGGGGGGAGGGAGGAGTAGACAACAATAAATGTAAAAATAGTAGATTTCTATGAAAAGGGAATAGACCCAAATGCTTGAAGAGGGTATCCTTTTGTAGTATGTGGCCAAGGAAAGCCTGTTGAGATGACACTTGGGCTGATGACCAAAGCCAGTCCCAGCAGCCACGTTGGTGTCGGCCTGTGTGCCTCGGCACATCCCCTTCCTCCCTCCTCTTTCTTCTCCTTCAAGGCCAAGTTTCTTCCCTGAGCCACCCAAGTGGAGATAATCATTCCCTAATTTGTGCCACCAGAGTCTTAGGTATTTTCCAATATTGTAACACAGTGACACGAACTGACTTATGTGTGGCTCTCCCTCTGTGCAAGGCCGTGGTGGGCCAGTGGAAGGCCAGGTTGGCATCCTTTTCCTCTGGGACCACAGTAAGAGCGCAGGAGTGAAGAGGGCCAAAGATGTCCTCAGGCTCCTTCAGCTCCTTTTCCCCATGCTCCAGGGACATGCAGATGTCCCCGTGGTGTTTTTTTAAAAAATTATTACTTATTTAATTTTATTTATTCATTCATTTATTTTAATGCCACCCAAGTGGAGATAATCATTCCCTAATTTGTGCCACCAGAGTCTTAGGTATTTTCCAATATTGTAACACAGTGACACGAACTGACTTATGTGTGGCTCTCCCTCTGTGCAAGGCCGTGGTGGGCCAGTGGAAGGCCAGGTTGGCATCCTTTTCCTCTGGGACCACAGTAAGAGCGCAGGAGTGAGGAGGGCCAAAGATATCCTCAAGCTCCTTCAGCTCCTTTTCCCCATGCTCCAGGGACATGCAGATGTCCCCGTGGTGTTTTTTAAAAAAATTATTACTTATTTAATTTTATTTATTCATTCATTTATTTTAATTTGACCAGAGAGAAACACAGAGAGAGCGAGAGAGGGAAAGGGAGAAAGGAAGCCACCAGGTCCGGGACTCGAAACGTGGTTGGCCATGTGGGAGTGTCCAGCACCTTAACCACCATGCCACCTGCTGGTCCCTGTGGTGTTTTGATTGGAGCTGTGGCCTTGAGAGTTTGCTGCCGGAGAGGTGTGGAGCCCTACTCTTGTTGACTCTAGACCCTAATCATAACTAGGTTGCCTGGCAACCCATCCTGAGCCCAGAGTTAGATTCCTCTGCACTCCCTGGTGCTACCTGGGTACGCAGTTTTCCCCTGGGGGTGTCGTACCTTGCCTTGTCCTGCACCTTGAGCTAGGTTGTAAAACCTAGAAAGAGAGGCTGAGTGAGAACTCAGGACACAAAGCTCAAGGATTAGGGAGAACTTGAACCCAGGGGAGAGTCAAGATACCCGCCGGATGGACTGAGATAACTGCGATAAAATTAAGATCCACACCCCGGGACCCAATTAGACAGCTCCCCACATTCACAAGTTTCAGAGGATGGTGGGTAAGCAAGACCAGGCCATGGGCTCTGAGAGCACTCACTCCGAAGGCAGGATTTCAACACCTCGTTCTAGGAGCAGCTGTCCGCTCCCTTGGGACTTTCCTAACTAAGCCACTTCTTTTCCCCAACCCAGTTCCATATCCTGCTGAGCTGTGGCCTCCCAGTGCTCCCAGAGCCAGATCCCCTCCTTCCTTGCCTGCTTCCTCTCCACCCGAGTTGGTCTTCCTCCACTCTGCATCCCCTCCCCCGCCTTTCGGGAACTGAGATGTGTGGCCCTCCTAGAGGAAACAGAGCTGGTCACCCGGAGCAGCTTCCGCATGGTTTGCGTGTCTTGAGATACTTAAAGCCAGCCTGGACCAGCCTCCTCCAGCTCTTCTCCGTAACCCGACGTCTTCCAATAAAAATAGCTCCATCGCTTCGCTGAAGGGTGTCCGTACTGCTCATTGCTGGGGTTCCAGATCCCAGACATTGGAGGGTGAAATCCTTGGGCCAACACAGACAAAGCTAAGTCTTCCTTGAGTTTCTTCCCCGGGGGACAAGACCCCCTCTCAGCCCCAGATTTCTGTGCCACTGGATTGTCTGGTGATCCACGGGGAATCATAAAATCCAGGCAGGCTTCAAATGACTCTGAGACTCTGAGCAATCGAGTGGTCCTGGGCGCTAGATTCCAAGCGCACTACGGCAGGTAAGGATGTACGTCATGGTTTTGGAAGTCACTGCTGGCTCAAACCCTTCACTTCCCTGAGTGAGGGTGCAATGCCTCCCCACCCAGCAGCTGGTGCCGCACTGGGGCTCAGGAGGTAAGTACAGTGGGAGAGGCAGAATGGGTTCTAGAGGGCCATAGCTTTTCTGCAGAGCCCGATCTGGAGGAGCTAAGAGGGTGTGCTCTAAAGACAGGCTGCCTCTATTCTGACCTCAGCACCACCGTGACCAGGGGTGGAGACCTTGAGTAAGTTAGGAGCACTCTGAACCTCAGCTCCCTGCTCTGTGAACGGCATGCTTGGCATCTCTCTCTCTCTCTCTCTCTCAAATTTGCCAGAGGGTGCACGCGCTTGCCAGAGAAGACAGAGAGAGAGGGAAAATGAGAAGGCATCCCCTATGGGACGCGGTCACACTGCAATCCCTTCTCTCCCATTTCTCTATCCTGTCACTATTTGAGGCTGCACACACACACACACACACACACACACACACACACACACATGTTTTTCAACTGACAGGGGCTGAGACTCAAGTTGTGGGGTTGGCCCTGTGAGATCTGGCTCCCTAACTACCGAGCCACAGGGCCGGCCCAGTTTTGCTTGTTTTATTTCTCCCATGACAGAGAGCCAGAGAGTCAGTGACACTAACATGATCCCCGCACTGCCATCACCTCAGCCTCAGTCAGCTCATCATCTGCCTTACGGGGAGAACCCAGAACCAAAGGCCCTGCCCACGTGGTCCTGTCTCACAGCACAGCGCCTCCAGCTGGTCTTACGGTGTTCCATTTTTAGAAGACAGGAAAATGCACAAATAATTAAGCCTAGAACTCAGGGTGAATGCTTATACATAGAAACACTCCTGTACCAATCACCTTGGCTTTGGAATTAAGCCAGATGGACCGAACCTGTGGCCCAGGGTAGGGACGCGCCTGCAGAAACTGTATCAAGGTAGCAGACCTGGCTGGTGCTAAGCGGTTTGGTTTGCAGGCAGAGGAGGCACTCCCAGGGGGCTGGGATGGGAGTTGGAGGTTGGTGAGGAGGGGCGGGCCTAGCTGAAGGATTGGAGAATTAGGAACCCCAACACCTTGGGCAGACACAGGCACAAGGCACCAAATATAACCTCAGAGCCATTACTGTTAGCCCAGGGCAGCCACCAGAGGCGAGGCTGCAGGACTCAGAACACTTAGCAGAGGCTTCGACCTTGGCTGAGCCCAGTGGGGAATTCGACTGAAGGGGAAGGTGAAAAGATGTTCTAGACCGGCACTGCCAGGAGGAAAGCCTGGGACAGGAAAATCCAGTCTCTCTCTGCAAGGCCTCTTCGGGTCCACAGGCCCCAGAGTGACCTGGCCCGCACCACTGCAGGGTGAGGTCGGTGGGGGGTGCTTCCCTGGAGACTTGTGCAGGGCGCGTGGGAGAGGGGCTGGTTCAGGGTCTCAGTCGCAGCTTTGCCCTGGCTTGACTGTGTGGTTCATGGTTCCAGAGGGACTTCCTGGCACCTTCTCTCAAATGGAGGGGCCAAGCCCTGCAAGGACCACTGCCCGTGACTAAACCGAGTCCAGTCCTCCGCTGAGCCTGGCTCCCCTGAAGAGGAATGATCAGAATG